TTGTTTAATGAGTAAGTTCTTAGTCAAGGTGACCTTTTATAGCCTCACCCTCTGTCTCTTTCCTGCTTTCTGTCCTTTTCTCGTGTATGTGTCTGTGCTTGTGTGTGTATGTGTTTGTGTGTGTGTGTGTATGTGTGTGTGTGTTGGTGTGTGTGGTGTATTGTAGGTACTGGTGCATGTTGGGGACAGAGAACAACCTTGAATATCATTCTCAGCTGCCATCCATCTTGTTATCTAGGCAGGATCTCTCACTGGCCTTGAGCTCACAAAGCAGGCTGGCTGGCCAATGAGCTTCAGGAATCCACCTGTCTCTGCCTCCTCAGCACTGGGCTTACTAGTATGAGTCACAATACCTTAAACATGGATTCTGAGGGCTTGAACTCGGGTCCTGATACTTATAAGGTGGGCAGTTTGCTGACTGAGCCGTCATTACTCAATTCCCGTAAGATCTTTTGTTAGACCTTTTTCTTGGTGTGAGTTGAGCTCTCCTTGAAGAACTGTGCATCAGGCCGTTTGTGAACAGTAGCTGCAGGGACTCTGCCTGTCTGAAGATAACCACTGCTCTTCTCAGGAAGTATGAAATTCCAGTCCCCTACAGTGCAAGGCGGTGGCTGAAACAGCTTCCTAGATATTCTGTCATCATAAGCCTCTCCCTGATCTCTTCCCCTGCTCCTTCTACCTACAGCGAATCTCAGAGCCTTCCTCTACTCCCCAGCCTGGCAGCCATTTACGATGATCATCACTGGGGAAACACTGGGGGCTGTTCTTGTCTCCCCCTCTTCTAGCATGGAAAGATTTTGTCCTCCTCCCTCACTCTCACCTCGTGGACCAAGGTCTGTTATCTAATACCCTGTTTATGGGCTGTTGGGATTTTTCCAACAACCTGAAATGAATCTGCAAGGCCCCACAGGTAGTGCTGCTTAGTCTCCTGGCCATAAAGTCTGACTGGCTCTTTCATCTGCCATTACTTATATCATAAATGAGTGGGCAGAAAGACAGTGGGGAAACAGCTGTCCTAAAACAGTTCAGATTTAAGAAGAAGCAAAGAAGAAAAGAAGTAAAGAAAAGAAGAAAAGAAGAGGAGGAAGAAGAAGAGGAGGAAGAGGAGGAGGGAGAAGAAGAAAAAGAGGAGGAGAGAGAGAGAGGGAGAGAGAAAGGTCTGGAGAAACATGTTCAAACTTGGTGCTAAGCCAGCTCATTTCATTCTGTAGCCTGTACAGAGACATTTAAGCTCTGGGCTTCCCCACTAGGAGTCAGATTTATTCTGTGCTTGTGTCTAAATGGCCTCCAGGGATGCTAACATTTGTTGTTGGAGAGCTAAGAGTGGTGTTCCTTTCATCTCTGCTGAGGGGTGTCACCTTAAATTATGAGGGATAGCTACAGCCTGCATCTGGGTGTGGGAGGCTCTGGCAACGGAGGGAGCCTGCTCTCTTCACTGTTTGAAGGTTTTCTACAATCTTCTGCTTCCTGGTACTCCAGCTAGTTCTGGGAGAAATATTTCACACTATATATTCTCACGGAGAAGTTTGTGGAGTCTGGCAAGTCTGCCCTGCAGAGAGAAAAGAGAGTGCCCTTGGTGAATGTCACAGAGCAGCTTAGAGTACCCCAAGAAAGTCACAGGACATCCCAGGCTGCTTGTATTCACACACCATAACTGGAAGCGGTTGAAGGACAGGGATGGGTGGCTCCTGAGATTCCAAATTACTTGCCATTCTGTATCTTCAAGATTTGACTCACCTACACTCACCAGGACAACTGGAGGTCCACACTGGTGACTGCCCAGGGAGCAACATCCCAGATAAATTGTATGCATGCTATTGACAACAGCAGAGAACATACCAGATCCTGCTAGCTATCCATTTCATAATATACCAGTTAAATAACTCCCCTTGTCCCAGAGTCAGGGTCTAGAAGAATGGGGCATGGACACAGGATACATATGTTTAGATGAAGAGGCAGGAAGTTGGGTGAGAGCTAGGGCAAAGGTCCCTAAACTGAAGTACGCAGACTGTATTTGGACTGAAGTCTTTTGTGCAAATGCAGGTCTATGGGACACAGCCCATGTTTGTGGCTTATGGCTGCCCTTATGCTGTGGTGCAGTGCTGGGGTTAGAGAATGGAGTATGAACTGAGACCAGAGAGTTGGCAAAGACTAAAGGAATTGCTCTCAGAAATTTCATAAAGTCTTCAGAATCCTGTGGAGGGAGAATGGGACCATGTAGACAACATGCCACACTGCTTTCCTGGAGACAGCTAGCACATATGGGACATTATTATTACTATTTTAGATTTGACATCTTCATTAGTTATATGATCCAAAGTTTCAATATCCATTTGCATCAAAAGATGTGGGAAATGACTGTCAAAGGATCAGACTTACTTTTTGAAAGACACTTACAAACACCATTTTATTGACAATACTGGCAGATGACAGGCTACTGAAGATCTCCCGATTTCATTTTAAAACACACTCTGTACTGAGGTAGCCTTGGTGATTGTTTACAGTGTCTGACTCTGCCCCTTCCTTGCTGCCTGCATTCAGGTGAGCTGTATGTCACTTGGGCTAGCATGTCAGTCATTCTCATTTCCTTAGAAGTGTCACTGAAGGATTAGTCATATCAGAATTTCCTCTTTACTCCCCATTAGGGGTTGATGGAGTCTCTGACCCCCATTAAGGCTGTTTGAGAGTGAATATATACAGATACGACTTTCTTTTTCTATCTTTAGCCTCTTGGGGGAACCATCATATTTTACTGAGGCTTTCGTTTTCAACGTTTATTTTCTCCTTGCTATTCTGCAAACCTCCCAGGATTGCCTTGCACAGCTATGACTAAGATCAACTGTGACATCACTCCTGGGAAAGAGCAGCTTCAGAGCTGAAGGATCTAGGGGCATCCTCCTCCTCATGAGGACTCTGGTGCTAATGCTTCTTAATCTCCCAGGGTCTTTTATTTGTACCTTTGGTAGAGAGCGAGACATAAGGAGAATATAACCTTTCTACAGCATATGTTAAGCATTACTTGTGTGTTGGGGTCATGTGAGCTTCTTTGTACATAGCATCAGTGCTTCTGGGACACCCACAGGGTGGATGTTACTGTCATCAGAATGTAGTGCAGGAAACCAGCTGGGGGACTGGGAACATGATATGACTAGCAAAGGCTAACAAGGGGTGGGAGTGCCTGCCTACCTCAGCCTCCTCTTAGTTCAGTGGATTCACAATTGAGTGCCTCTTCACATTCAAGTTATGTTTTGATTGTCCATAGAAAGAGAAAAAAATTTTACCCTTTCACATAAAGGAAATGTTTGGCTCTGGCAGGGAACTCAGCTCACATTCTAACTAAACGACCATGTACAAATGTGTCTCCTCTACAGGAGAGGTAGGAATAAAGAAATAGCATGTGTGGCCTGCAGCCGCTGGGTCTGTCTTGTGGGCTTCTTATAAGTAGCCAGAGGGACAGCAACTGCCACAGGGCAAGCCCATGAGGTAAGAGTTTCACTGCATGGAGGGTGGGAAGCTTTCCAAGACCCAGAGATAATAGAGGGTCTCCTTAGTATAGCCTGGAACCACAATTCCCAGAGGCTCCAAAGGCACAAAGTGAAAAGAAGTAACTTACTGTGGCATCTCTTTGACCCTAGAAACAGCCTCTGAGCCTCTGAGAAGTACTTGTATGGGAGACTTCTTTCTACTTTGGGTATCATTGTCAATTGTATATCCTGTGAATGCTCAGCTTTAAATGGGACATCTTAATGGACTACCTTCCTACTGGACAGCCAAGGTTCAGGGAACATTACAGAAGAGGAGACAGAGGGACACAAGAGCCAAAGGACAGGAAAAGTGCTGAGAAATGTCTTCTGCACATGGCATGGCTATGGCATTCATGAATTTATAGCTCTTGTGGCTGACTGCACAAGACATGGACAAGATCGAGCCAGCCAAAGTTCTAGCATATACCTGGAGGGGACTCACAAAGCTCCAGCCCTAAGGAAGGACTTATTGGTAGCTGATAGCTAGTATGTGAGGGTGCATTCTTTTTTTGTAGGTGTGGGCACTGGTAGGTTGCCCATACTCTAGTTGATGACCCAACATCCATGCACATGTGGGGAGCACTAAATGGACTTATTGCTCACCACATGTGTGAACTATGTTTCATAAAAACTATGAAATTGGGAGGTCGACATGTGTGAGACTACCTGGAGGCTGTTGGAAGGGGAAAATGGAGGTAGATATGATTATATTTCATTGTATACACGTATGAAAATTTTCAAAGAATAGAAAAAAGAAAATACCCCTATGTTATTCACTGTTCGCTGAGTTAAAATACTTCACACTTTTCTTAGGGAGCTGCTTACTTTATAGAATAGATGTTTTGATGAATTGTTAGTGTTACCTGGTCATTCTAAGTTATCTGTACCTATTGATAACATGATGCTGGTTTTTGATTACCCTTTAAGCAGTGTTATTTTCTACCTTGTGGTAGTAGCTAAAATGTTTGACATAGTTCTGGGAAATTACATCTGAGTCCTTTAGGTCTAGTATTGAAAATGACATCAAGGAAACCATACTAGTAACCAACAGTTATTGGGCATTGGTTATGTGCTGAAAAGCATTTTGAATGCCTTACAATAGGCTCATTTCATCTCCACAATGATTCCATGGAAACAAGCTGTCTTATGCCATGATTCTTTACATGAAAGATGAAGTCAGAGTTGATTAGCTTACTTATGGTCACACAGTTAAGAAATGTGCGGCCAGGACATCATGCTATGATAAAGTACTGAGGGTGAATATGACTGTGGACTTTCTGGGTTTTGCTTCTGAGCTTTAGAAGTATGTTCTTCGCCTCTTTATGGGAGCTTTTACATGAGAACTACACAGGTTATCACACTCACACCTAAAGCCGCCTTGGGAATGTGGCATCCCAGAGCTTGTCACAGAGGAGCAACAAACAGCTCCATAGGTGCATCTGGGGACTGAGGATACTGTTCTCTGTTTCATTTTAGGCAAAAGTGATGATGAAGAGAGTCTTTGCAAGTCAGCCCACGGGGCAGGGAAAGGAGCATCAGAGGACGGCAAGGACCATAAGCGACCCAAACGTCCCAGAACCATCTTGACCACTCAGCAGAGGAGAGCATTCAAAGCCTCGTTTGAAGTATCCTCCAAGCCCTGCAGAAAGGTATAAGGGGGGTGAAGTCAGGAGAAGGGATCAAGGCCCCCTTGTCTGCATGCAGCTGGGCTCCCCTGGGATATTAAAGGGCTGTGGATGAGTCTGAGTAATGGGGAATGCTGCTCATAGTCTGTGACAGTTATGAGCCCAGCAGGAGGTCTCAAAGACAGCTAAGATATGGCTTGGGAAGTAATAGAATCTCCCCCAACTTTCTATGTGCTTGCCAACTCCTGACTAACAAACACCTCCCATTTCATGAAGTGCAACAAGGAACAATAAATAGTAACTAAATCATTGCAATAATAAGTACTAGTTGTGATATAAGCCAGATACCTTAACAAAGATTATAAAAATACAGTAGCTTGTAATGTGTGCCTTTTATGGTCGGGTTTTGGCTTCTTCTCCTTGGTGTGGTGACTTGGGGATTCTCTGGGTAGAAGTTTATTCCTTCCCATGATATTTTCAATGGAAGGGATGTGCTCAGGTTTTCCACTCACCGAATGATGGGGATTTGGGTTCTATTTTGTTGGCACTGTTCTCAACAGGGGTCTTGTGAACATTTATAGAAAATCATTCACTGACTCAATGAAATAGTATTTTCCTTTTATGTCACATTTTGGAGGAGAGCAAGATAAGACTGGGAGGGAAGTTCTGTTATCCATCACTTGGGTCCCAACAGTTGCTCCAGCTGTCTGCATATTCCCAACCACCATGGTGAGGACAGCAGAAGTAGTGAGTGAGAAACCTGCCATTTTTGAGGACATTTATGGAGTTTGTGTCCACCTGTTTATGCATCTCCTCTCCACAGAGTAGAGGAAGAATTTGGGATTTGTTGAGCAGTAATATATTGTGTCACAACTTTGATCTTGGACTCCTTGGATCATAGACTCCTTTCCTTTCCTTGTCTTTACCACTCCCTACACTCTGTGGGAGGTAGCTGGAGGTAGTGAGATACCCCGAATAGGCTTACACATGGAGTGTTTACAGTGAGGAGGACATGAGTATACACAAGTGTCACACAAGGGAGAAAGTTATAATAACATTAACAGAGAGGCTGCCGGGAGTTAATGGGGAAGGGGAAAGTCATTTCATCTGGGCATCTACCAGGCTTTGTAGATCAAGTGGATTCTGATCTGAGGCTCTGGGGCCATGGATAGGGTTTCAACAGGTGCAAGAGCCACTGTGTCTACTTCTTATGGTGACTTAGTAGATGCACATGCCTCAACAACCTACCCTACTCATCTCACGTCTAAGCTTCAGCCCAGTCACATGGTCAAGATGGCTGGGTTTTCTTCAGTCTCCATTTGGTCTACTCAACCAGGTTCTTTCAGTCCATCTTCTCTGGAGTCTGTCAAGGAGGGGTAGTGTCTTGGAGTCCCTCTTACTATTACACCAACCCCTCACCATATGCCTGGATGACCTAGATAGCCAAACACATCTCTTTGTTATCTGGACAGTCGGGAGACTGCCCTCATCTCTGCATGACCCCAGAGCATTCACCAGCATTAGAGTTGCTCACCTGACTCTGCTCGAGTCCAAATAGCCCTCATGTTTTATATTCCCCTGGGAAGGACTTCCTCAAAAAAAGAAAGTGAACACAAAGATTCAGAAAACACACAAAGCTACTTGGAAATAGACAAAGGTAAAAATTTAAGTCAATGACAAGACAGGAGGACAAGAGAATCATCTGTTTCTGCAAAGAGATTTTCACTGTAGTTCATCTTTAGTCGATTAAAGCATATGAAAACCTATAGCTAAAGAGAAGTTAACTCCAGTAGACCATATAAAGCCATAGCTTCAGAGTACAAGAAACTCAAAGTTCTTCCTGGGAATGTGCATTTAAGTAAATGCATCTCTTCCTTTCTCTACCTTGTGATAGATGCCTTCTCTGCCAGAAAGAAAACATAACCTTGTGTTTGGATATATTTGAACATTAATCATGAACTAGTCTCTACTTAGGAATGTGACCTATACCCTCACCCGGCACCACCCAGGAAATGGTTTGCCTCCTACTCTAAAAGGTCATTGTGTTTGTGTGTGTGTGTTTGTGTGTGTGTGTGTGTGTGTGTTATACTCATGTGTTCAATTTCTTCAAGGTGAGGGAGACGCTGGCTGCAGAGACAGGGCTGAGTGTCCGTGTGGTTCAGGTGTGGTTCCAGAATCAGCGAGCCAAGGTAATCTGCTTCTCATCTTTATCTGTCTTTGTCTTACTGGTTTCTTCCAACAACAGCAGCTGGACATCGGACTTGCTGCCAGCCTTTCTAAGCTAACTTATTAGGCAGAGCAGCTCTCTTGATTAAAAACATCTACCATCAGCAATTATTTCAGCCACAGAAGTCTTGCAGAAGGGAGAAGGGAAGCGTTTATGTTAGTGAAACAGTTTTTATCGTGGCAGGTGGAATGAATGTGTTCATTCCCAGCTTGCAGTGTCTGGCCTCTCTAACTTCAGGCTCATTGTCCTAGGTAACAAACAAGTCTTGGGTTACTTATTTTCTTCCTGACTCCAAAAATACACGTCCTGGCTGGTTTTACATAATCTTGGTTTTATTTATCCTTCTTCCTTTCATGTATGTTCATGTATAGGTATGTACACAGAGATGTGTGCATGGAAGTATGTGCATTTACATGAAGGCCAGAGGTCTTCAGGATAGTAAGTCACATTTTAGTTTTTGTTCTTTTGAACAGAATGTCTCACTGGGACCTGGAGTTCCTTAATTAGTCTAATACCGGGTGCCAGGCAGCCCCAGGGATGCTCTTTGTCTCCCTTCCTCAGGACTGGAGTTACAGTGCATACCAATACCCCTGACTTTTTGCCTAAGTTCTTAAACATTGAAGTCAGGTCTCTGTGCTTACTCAGCAGCACTTTGCAAACTGAGCTCTCTCCCCAGTCCTTAGATGGTGATAAATTGCTCTTCTCATTAAGATGCAATTCTGTAACAGAATTCCTCAGATCAGGGCTGTTGTTGGTGTGTTGCTATTCCATCAGTAGAAGACTTCATGGTGTAGTGACTGTTAGCGAGCTCATGGGATGCGTGTTCACAAAGCAGATACACACTGAAAACCCTGGGGAATTTTTGGGCAAAGGAATTCATTTTTCTAATATAGCACGCACACATGCATGCACGAGTGCAGCAAATATTAAGATCTCACTCAGTGCTAATGTTTCCCAGAGCACAAGTTGAGAAACATTGGATAAAAACACACTGGGTGAAACTGTCACTTTGATGGACAAGCTTCTGGTCTGGAGGCATGGATCTCACAGGAAACACCTTAAACATAGGGCCAGCAGATGGGAAGAAGGTAAAGGAGTGTCTGGGCTTATCCCAAGTTCCACCTTCTGGACAGTCCATGCTCCACAACTCTTTGAGACCATGAAGCACACATCCACATGTTTACTGCCTCACAAGAAGCAGTTCCAGAGAAAGCAGCATCTGGTCTTTGCTGGGAAGAAGTCTGTTTCTGAGAAAACAGGTTGCATTTTGCGTCTCTGCCAGCTTTATTCCCGCTGCTTCAAACTAGGAGAGAGAGCCCTTGCCACTAAGCATCTGAGTCATGGGGTTGTGCCTGGTGTGTGTTTCCTGGGCAGAGTCAAAGCTGGAGGATCACTTCTTCTACTTTAGAAACAGTCCTCTCCACCAAAGGGTAAAAGTCATACTTTTCTGCTCTCCCAACGCAATGTGGACCTAACGGAGGCCTCTGACTTCTAATCCTGTGGTCCTCTCTTCATCAGATGAAGAAGCTGGCCCGGCGGCAGCAGCAACAGCAACAGGATCAACAGAACACCCAGAGGCTGAGTTCTGGTAAGCTGATGGCTCTTTCCAGCCAGTCCCCACTGTAGTCCAAATTTCTTCTACCTGAGGCCATCAAATGAAGCTCTTTGAGTGACAATTCCCTGAGCAGTGACATTCATCCACACTGGTTGGAGAGATGATCAATTTAAGTGAAGACTGGACTGTAGGTAACTTGTAAGAGCGTTGAGGGCACTTGAGCTACACATCAAGGGCAGTCTATTGATGGTGGCAAAGCTCATTGTTTGGAGCATGTCAGTGTCAGTACCATGTGAAGAGGTAAAGGCATGTCCGGTTTCTCTTCTTACCCAGTCCTCCTCATTTAAAGCAAATCCACTTACTAAAAGATAACACCGACTTAGCCCTCTGGTAAATTTCAAGAGATAATAGATGTAAAAGGAATAAATGTTTATTTAGGCTCATGATTCCCAAGGGTCTCAGTTCCTAACTGCTTGGTATGTTGTTTTAGGGTTTACGGTGAGACAGAGCATCATAGCAGAAGTGTGTGTTGGAAATCTGTTCATTTCAGGCTGGTCAGGAAGCTGAAAGAGAAAACAGAGCCTTAGAAGTGGTGGTATAAATGTTCTTTGTAGGGCCCAGTACTAAAACCGTCACCTATCCCCAAACAGCTTGAGTAGCCATGAGTCTCTTTCAATCACTGTCACTCACTACAGAGAGAAGCTTCTTTGATTATGTCTGAGAGCATCATTTGCATGTGGGCACAAACAAATCCTTAGCATGCAGTTTGATGCCATATCAATTTAGCTATAGAACAGTAGTAAGTTTCCCAGTAAGGCCTATGACCTCAGTCAGTTTGGTTTTTAATAGGTTTGTGGTATGAAGTATGCATTTTCTCCAATGCAGTGAACCTCAAATCCAACCTGAGAGCAGTTGGTTACCTTGTAATATCATGCCAGTCTACTGCCAGTGGGCACATCTTGCTTGACAGTTTGGCATCATAGTCATAGGATTCACACCTGGGTGGGACTAATGATGATTTTTTTCCCCTAGTAGACTGTATAGTACCTCTCAGCACTATGAAAGCCACCCAGCAGGGAGGAAGCTTCCAGCTTTTTCTTGCTTGATGTCTCCTGCAATAGAATTGAATCATCTAGTTTTAAGGACATCCAAGAGGAACACCAAAGGCCTATACTGTTTAGAGGCTTGGGGGCCTCCCTGATCAACAACTCTTAAGGTGCCCACATCTGCAATGGGATTCTTGTTTACTAGACAAATAATGACTTTGAGGAACAGTAGTACTTAGCCATGCAGGATATCTCAGTAGGTTTCTACCTGGTTTTCTCATAAATATTACATTTTGACTAACCCTTTGTGTGCCCTCACTATCCATGTACCTGACTTCCATTCCTGCTTAAACCTTTCCACCTTAGAATTCCCTCCTTCTCCTTTCCCATCATCTGTCTGCTCGCTTGTCCTCTTCCCTTAAGTCAGCTCTGCTCCCCCATGGTACCTTTCTAGTTTCTTGACTTGTACAGGTGCTCCAAGTCACACACACAGATCTAAATATTCAAAGTCTGGATCACATATGAGAGAGAAGATGTGATCTTTGTCTTTCTGAGCCTAGGTTACCACAATCAGTATAATCTTTTCCATTTCCACCCATTTATCTACAAGTTTCATCATTTATTTTTACCAGGACTTGTACAAGAGAAATAGTACTACACAGAAAAATGGATACAGTGGTTGCTGGGGAGGAGTGAGCATCAAGGATAGGAGTCTTGAATTCTGTTCTCAGATCTACACCACTACGAAGTTATTTGATCTGAGACCAACCCATTTTTCCATGTAGTTGAGATGTAGGATGTATGCATCCACAAAGAAGGGCAATCATGCCTGCTACCTTTGTCATATAGGGTCCTTACAGCCTTCAGAGAGGGTTACAGATATGAAGATCAGAGGGGCATGTCACTTGACTACATGTAAACCAACAAACTCAGGAGAGAGCTGCACCAGTGTATCATGAAAAAACACAGATAGTACTTAGGACTCTGCTTAAAGACTTCTCAGGCCAGCTGCTAGAGTATATTTAAGAAAGCAGGAGGCAGAGGGAAGTATCTTTGCTAGGAGTTCATCGAGCCATGCTCATATTGAGGATGAGGAGGCAGGAACGATTTCTTCATTTCATAAATTTCTGTACACAAGTGTAGCAAGTTGCAAATGTAGAGCATGCCCACTTTCATGGAATCTTTGTATCAACCCTGTGATGTCAGCTGGTCCAGTATCATCAGCCCCACTTGACTGGTGAACTTGCCATGAGTTATTCTAGGAAAGATCCATCCCTTCAAGTGGCTATCAAACCTATATAGTGTCCTAATGCTCAGCTTTCAAGCCCACACCTCTGTCCTCCACTCTCCATGCTTTGGTAGGCAGAGGCTGAGAAACACTGATACCACCCCATCCGTTCCTAATGAGTAGATGATCAAACGAAATGCCAGGGAAGTAAATTACGTAGCCATAATCACACAGCTTGCTCAGTCACATGCCTCTAAGGTGGTCTTACATGAGTCTTACAAAGTACTGTCTATGTTGTTTGGGAGTCGCCTCCATCATGAGATAGGAGTGAGTGAGAGTATGACTTCCAAAGCTGTGTTGGAAAGGATGCAGTGGTTCCTCTCAGCCCCACCCTATCAGAATATACTATATTCATGGATGAGATTGTCAAAGATTAAACAACAAACAAACAGACAGACAAACAAAGAGACAGGGTAGTTCCTCTCAGCCCCACCCTCCCAGAGTATATACATGAATGAAACTGTCAAAGGACAACTTAAGTAAATAAATAGAATAACATGCTCGGTTCCGACTCTCGTCCTGTTGGGTCACTTGCTCTGGGGGGCTGTAGGCTGCCGTGCTATGAGAACCATAAACACTGGACATCACTAGTGGGGGGATGTGCAGTCTTTTGGGTTCTGGGATGCCAGTTGAAAATGACCTGTCTTCTTTTATTTTGTTCCCTAGCTCAGACAAATGGTAGTGGGAATGCTGGCATGGAAGGGATCATGAACCCCTATACAACGTTGCCAACCCCACAGCAGTTGCTGGCCATTGAACAGAGCGTCTACAACTCTGACCCCTTCCGGCAGGGTCTTACCCCACCCCAGATGCCTGGAGATCACATGCACCCCTATGGTAAGAGGAACTCAGTCCCCAGAGGTCCCTCTCAGTCTGCTCTTGTGGGTTTCTCATTTTCCTTAAGCAGATCTACACAGTTCTCAGAGACTTGCTGAATTACCAAATATGAATATGTGTCCCACAAAATATTGCAGACACCATCTACCTGATGTGTACAGAGTATTCCTGAGCACATTCTTTGGTGACATTTCCATGTGTCATCATTTTTGAGGCTCCATTGTTGAGCCTTTCCTTGTCTACCTTGTCAATTAAGGCAATGCTCAAAGGATGTGTCCTGGAGACTCTAATGGGATGGAGTGAATGAGTGTAGGGTACCAAAGCCATTGCATGTTTACATTAAGAAAGGCAGTGTGTGACTTACACTATATGTGACTTAGTATATGGTACAATGTGTCATAAGTTGTCCTGATTATTATACAATAAAGTTTGGTTCAGCATTCTTGTAAAATTTTGTAGTAGAGACACAAGGTGTTCACTCTGCCAACTTCTTTCCTTTAGTTAATATTTTTTGTTGCCATGGTCAGGAATGTGACCAATTGGTAAAATGCTTCTAACACATACAAGAGGACAAAAGTTCAGATCTCTGCCATGTCTGGTTAAAATCAGACATGGCTACAGATATCTGTAACCCCGTTTCTTGAGGGGCAGAGGCAGGTGCATCCATGGAGCTTGCTGGCCAGCCAATCTTATCAAACTTGTGACTTTCGAGAGTAAGGAGGAGACAAGCTGAGGAAAATATCTTAAATGAGCTTTTGTTCTCTACATGCACACACTCAGACATGTGAGCATCACACATTAACATATACAAGCACATACATCACACACATACACACACACACCACAAATATGTTAAAGTCATCTCTACTTTGGTTTATTCCAGCTTCAGCAAACACTTACCTTGGTGTTTGCGGACTCTCACTGCCCAACGTCAGGAACATGTACATTCTAAGTTTGTACGTATGCCTCCCAGTGATGTCCATCCTTTTCCTCTTTAGAAGACGACACATGTCACATTCGAACCATTTTCACTCTATCACATGGGAGACCAGGGACGATGTGGTTTTGTTATTTTGCAAATCCTTATGTCTGTGACTTTTAGCAAAACCAACAACTGAAGCTCAACAGTCAGTTTGAGGTGCTTGCTTTTGCCTTTCTAGTTGAACTAAAGTGTAGGTACACCATGCCATGCCTCCCAGGTTGCAGGTTTTCAATTGCAATGGTACTTCAGCTGTGGTATAGTGTGCCACTATACTCTCTCCAGGATGCAGTTGAGGCCAGGTGCCTAACCTTCCTATCTTGTGAGGCAGAAATCTGGGGAGGCAGCGAAACCTTGGTACATCTCTGCTACTTGAAATGACCAATGTTACCAGCAAGATCAGAACTTCACTTGAAGAATCCATGTTCATTTCAAACCATCTGTCCTTGAGGAGCTCTTTGTGAGACTGGGGATATTCAGGATCCTTGTCTATGTCCCTCCAGCCTTTGATGAGGAGTCTTGCCTACCCTGTGTTCACTCTGCACCCTCAATGTGCATAGTGTAGCTCATGTAGCTTAATGCATTTCCAACTTTGGACAAGAGCTCTCATGAGACTTTAGACCTTAGCATTCAGACCCTAACCCTAACCTTTACACTTTTGTGTGTAGCTTTTCCCACCCCATACCTCAACACTTAGTAGGTTCTCATACCCGGGATGTGTTCAAACACTTCTTGAGTTCAGCTAATTTCCTAACATACAAGGATGTTACTTCTTCCAGACCCTCATGGCCATGTTCCATCTTCATTTCAGGTGCTGAACCTCTTTTCCATGACCTGGATAGTGACGATACATCTCTCAGTAACCTGGGTGACTGCTTCCTGGCAACTTCCGAGGCTGGACCCCTGCAGTCCAGAGTGGGAAACCCCATTGACCATCTGTATTCCATGCAGAATTCCTATTTCACCTCTTGAGTCTCCTAGAATTTTGTGGCTGGGCTCCCATATGGAACAACCATACTGTGTAAGAGGTTGCTGACTTTAGGATGGGGAGGCCAGAGAAAAGGTGGGCTGGGGAGGGAGGTTTGTTGGGGATGCTGTTGTTTAATTATATGGTGTAGCTCAGCATTTCCAAAGACTGAATACATTATGGATCACATAGTTTAATGTTTCTAATAAGAATCTTAGTGTTAGATATGAAGATGTGTTTATCATTAAGGACAGGGTCTTTTAATATAGACATTCTCAAGCAAACTAGATACCTAGGGACTCCTAACAGCTTCCCACCATTCTGGAGAAGTGCTTGTCAAGAGGTGCTGTATATCTATTCATCTACACACCAATGGACAGACAGATAGGTGTGTGTGTGTGTGTGTGTGTGTGTGTAACCTTTCATACTTTATCATCAAAGTTTATTCCTAATTATAACAGACACCAACTGTACAGCAAAAGTAACTTTATTTTCAGTGTGAACTATATTTAAGGAAATGCTTGATGCACTTAAGTTATAAAATGAGATAATTTACTTTTATAAACTTTATTTTTAGTTTGGAGAGACTCATCGGCAGGGCAGAGAGGGCTGCTCCACCTGGCCCCACAGCTTTGAGTGCTTGAGTTCGTTCTGTGATCAGAGTATCATTGAGGTCTAGAAAAACAACTCCAGATGGGAGGCAGCATGCTATAGTGAACTCCTGCTCACTCTGGTGTCAAGTCACTGGGCCTGAACGTGATTTTAGGCTTCTTGGCATGGGATTGTTGAGCAGCATCAACAAGGTTGTCTCTACCCCCAGATTCAGCCTTGATGAGTGTGGATGAAGTTGATAGCCACGCCTACCTCCCTCTCTATGAGTGTGGATGAGGTGGTTGCCACACTTACCTCCTTGGGGACACTAAGGCTCTACACCAGGACATTATGGAGGTTGGAACTAAAATAAATCTGATATGATGTAAAATATAACCGGATCATGCACCTGATGATAGAGGATACCTGGGGCCACAGAGCAGGAAGCTCTGGCATCCCAAGTCCTATCTCTCTGCACAGCCCACATGGCCACATGACAGAGACACAGCTCCGAGAGGGTGGAGACAACGCTCCATCTGAGAAGGTGGAAGAGGCATGGTGGATGGAATTCTAGAGCAAGTGTTGACTTGCACATCTGTTTTTTTTAATTTTATTTTGTTTTGTTCTTATGTTTTTAAAAAGTCATTTAAAAATGACTGTATGCACCCCAAAAGCCGGAATTACTTGTGATCTCTGTTTGTCTCTTTCTTGAGGGCCCATAGTCTAGAGGGCCTGGTCATAAACAACCTCATGGAGTTCATAGAAGCAGAGGGGACCAGGCAGGTACCCAGGACTCTTCCTTTCAACTTACTTTGCTGACCCTGAGCAGAGGAAGACCCAGCAGCCATTGTACACAGGGACAACTCCATGCCCTGGTCTCCATTGTATATGGGGACAATTCCATGCCCTGATCTCCAATTATGGTGCTAGGACAGGATCTTCTGTGTTAGGATTCTTCCGGGGAAGCAGAATGAGTAGGGGAAATACAGAAGGACTCCACTGAGAGGAGCTATGACAGGCATGAAGTCATGCCTGGAGATGTCATCAGAGCCATGAACATGCCCACATATCCACTTCATTCTCTGCAAGGCCAGAGGAAGCATGTCCCTTAGTGGTAGAGTGTGTGTTGTGTGATTTTTGTGCTCTTCTTTCTAATTTATACAAACCATCAGGAAACCCAAACCAGTCTGTCTACTGAGAATGAGGCAGGTGTAGGTGGCACGGATGGTGTCTGTGTGACTGATTGGTTGGAGAATGTAGCAGATATTATGTGAATGAAAGAAAACAGAGATCCTTAATTCTACTCTCTAATGACATACTGAGATGAAATTAAAAGCCTCTTACAAATGAGCCATTTGTTTATTTGGGGGATTATGGTGGGCTGGGGAATGAGGATTGGGGAAGGACATGGGAGTTTCTTCTAAGGAGGTATGAGTTTCTTCTGCAGAGGCATGGGGATGTGCTTGTGGTAAAACTTTGGCTACAGTTGAGCCTAAAGGGAAGGAGTTCTGCAGCTTCTTGCTAAGATGGATAAGGTCTTAAAGCCCACCCCTCCCAGAGGTTCTAGAAACATTTCATCCTTGCCATACAGGTCCATCATGGGAGAGATTACAGCACACGGTGTGTGCCATTAGCTTTGGATCAGCATGGGGTCATGCTGAAGAAGCAGTATTTCTCATGTAGAGCTCGAGACAAACGGCTACCAGAATGGGAGAGAAAAACAGATGTGGTTCTGTGATAGAGTCTCCCAGAGTTCTCAGCAGTTTTACATTTAGAGTTTTCACTAACATGGAAGAGAGTTTGAGCTAAAAGATGCGTCTCTCTAGTGTGCTGACAAGTCTTTGCTCATGGTTCCCAAGCTTTCTGTAGGGACCAGCTATCTCTGACCTGTGTTCTCTCCTCAACTCTGAGCAGACATGTTCAGATCCAAATTCCAACTTGTTAGGTGCTGTTTGGCCCTTGAGCAAGGTACTTCACTCTGCTGAGCTTATCATTCATAGAGTGACAGAGATGATGATGATACTTGTCACCATCTTCAGAGTGAAGGGGGCAATGAGTACGGCCTACAAAGCATTGTGCCTGACAGTGACAACAAGCTAAAAAGTGGGTTGACTGGTCTCAGGACCTGGTCAATGATGAATAGCTTATAGAAGTCTCACGCTATCTTTGAAGAAAATGGAGAAGATGCTGGCCCATCTGAGCTGAAGGTGATCTTCTATAGCACTCACCAGATGAATACTTGTTAAATCTCAATGAAAGTATCACTTAATCCAAGGCAGACATGTAGGGTGTGGCTTCTGTTGTGTATAAGACATGTAGAAAAAAATTCCACTTTTGAAAACATGTCAACAAACTCCCAAAGCACATAGAAGGAGTTCTCAGAGCATAGGAGATTTCTCCTGACATCTCCAGGTATCTACATGGGGGCAGGATGGTGGGAGAAGTGAAGCTGGGATCAGAGTGGAGAAGCAACAGCCTGCCTAGGAGAAATGTGGTGATTTAATGTCTATCAAAGTGGGAAGGAAGTGGAATTAGCTGTTCAGCTCCAAAATCAAAGACAAAATAAAGTCCAACTGAGCTGCATGTAAAATCAATCTCAATGTCTCTCTGTCTGTCTCTCTGTGTCTCTGTCTCTCTCTCTGTCTCAGAATACACTGTAAGATGAAAAAACGAATGTTTAACTTCAATAGAATAGTCCTACCAAGAGTCACAATTGAATCAAAACCAAATGGATACATTCTATTCCCCAATTGTTGCTTACAGCAGTACAAACTTATTCCAATGAGAGGAGAGGGAAAATCACCTTTATCTTAACTCTAAGCTGGCCTCTCAGATTTCATCTCTTCATCAGTAAAGTGTGGCCATTGACACTTGTATCTCTGTGAAAAAACAAAATCAATAGGTAAAAACAAGGTTTGAGGGCTCTGTCATGTTGTGGATATTGGCGAGCTCCCAGTATTTAGTTCTGCAGGACAGATGAGTCAGTCACGGGATTGGGGGGGAGCATCCTATCTGTGTGAACAGCTCTTCTGTACACTGTGAAGGCTTCACTTGCTGCTCTTCATCTTTTACTGAGGAGTGGTTCTCTCGAAGAGGGACAAATATACTGGGTCAGGGTGAAAATGACCTCTGACCTCTTCTAGCAGTTGTCACTGAAGCCACCGCCTGATGGACCTCCCCCTGTCCCTCCAGTGCAGGATTCTGAAAGATTGTGAGGTGCTCTATTGTGTGATGCATCAACTGCTCTCTTGGTGCCACGAAAGTGCTTAGGAAGAGAAGGGTGGAGCCTGCCCCTCACCTATGGTGGGAAGGACCTCTGGATAATTGTACAGGTTAACATTTTATCTAAAACATTTAACACCTCTTCCTTTATTTATTTTCTCTTTTCATGAATCCAAGTGATTCACTCACAAGTATTTGTAAGGATCAGGAATGTGCTTTGTTCTGAGATAGGTAAACAGAGAAACAAATAAAAACAAAGCAGAGGTGAGTAGAGAGAGGCAAAGATCCTGTCTGATTAGAAATGGCAACGTATGCAGGAAATAGCAGTTAATTCAATGCTAATAAATTGAGCTTGCACAGTGGAAGAGCAACAGAGGATTTGCCTCTTGCATGGTTAACTGCTGTAGGTAGGAAGAATCCCAGGGGTTTTCTGGTCTGTATTATGTGCAAAATGTCCTTGGAATCAAAGAAAAGGGACCACTGTCAATCAACACATGTTTATTAATTCTGGCCATGGACATTCGCTGCATTCGGGCAGTACAGCCTACTTCTGATAACATCACTCGATAGCCCTTGGGGAGTTGACCTTCCTCAGTTGTGTGTAGTCTTGGAGGACTTCAAGTCAAGGTGACCTGGTCTGCAGTCACCTAGGGACGGGTGTCACATAACCAGTGCTCAGCCTACCACCCTCTCCAGACCTCAGTGGGGCAAGACTAAGCTGGACACTTATTGGGAGCTGGTTCCTTTCTGGAGATTCCCACAACAGGAGGGTCCAAATAGAGGAAGCTTGGAGCCAAGTGTGGATAGAATTTTGATGCAGAGAGAGGAAGAGGGAGAGAGAGAGGGCATCTAGAGAAAATGCTCTCAAATAGGTAAGACAAGTATAAAGGGCCAGATGTACTATATGTGTAATGTATGGGGTACTATGATTGGAGTGGTAGGCAAACTATGGGGAAACTGAGATACTGAGTCAAGCAGGGTAGAAATGCTGGAGCTACACAGAGCTAGTCATGTCCTAATTCAGACCAAAGATTCCTTCTTCAGTGCATGTCTAAGAGCACTAGACATCTCATATAATCTACTGTCCTCTGAAATAGCACTCTACATGTCTAGCTGGCATAAGGGGACTTTGAATAAAGTTCATATTTCTTGGGATCCATTGCAGGCTACATTCCTGTATGAGATACAATGAAGTGACATCTGACATCTCAAAGCTATCTTTCCTAAAAGATGACTGGCATGTGCCTTTTCCCTCATGGTGTTGCTTCCTCTTTGTGTGGGATGAAGAGGTGATAAACAGACCTCTGAAATGGCCCAATGAGATTACAGAGGCCATGTGGAAGGAAGGAACCTGGGTCCCAAGGAAATCTGGAAGCCACTTGGTCACTGCAGTCCTGAGCTATCCTGACCCAGAAGAGAAATAAACAGATTTGATTTATTAACTTGCTGTTTCTTTGTGCTTCTTTGACATATAACCAATCCTAATCATGTGAATGTGTGTGTTTCTGTGTGTGTGTATGTTATTTATGTATGTAGGTATGTGGGCACATGTGTGGGTGCCCAAGTATGTTTGTATTGAGATCAAATGACAATAACAGGTGTCTTTCTCAGTTTCTCATTTTAAAAGGTTTTTAGTTATTTTATTATTTTTTTAATGTATGTTCATGAGTGCCTCTATGTGTATGTGTGCCATATGCTCCATGTACCCTTTTAGGCTAGAAAACATTGTCAGGTTTCTTGGAAATAGAGGTACAGATAGTTACAAGCCATCTGGCATGGATGCTGGAAGAGCATCAAGTGCTCCTAGCTGTACTGTTTGTATCGCCTCTCCATCTTAGTTTTGAGACTGAACCTGGATCTCACTTACTTGACTAGGCTAACTGGTCACTAACGAGCTTCAGAATTCTGTCTGACTCCAGCTACTCAGCCTGGGAGTA